TTCCCATAGCATACCTGAATCAACTGCTGTCAATCCTGTACCTACAGAAGTGACTATTTTACAGTCAGATGAGAGAATAGTTGTAACAGAAAATAGTTCACAAAGTTTAGATTATGCTGATAAAAACACAGAAAATTCTTCTGCTGAAGGTACATTATATATTTTTTATTTTGTTTTACTTTTAATTTTAATCATTATATTCTGTTTGTTTTAGTGCTTCTTTTCTTTATTCAGCTAATGTGACTTTTTAGATTTCATAAAATATGAATAGAATCTAGCACAGCATATATTAGCTTTTGTTATTATTATTTTGTGCCTGCTTTAATAATTTAAGTATTTTGTATTCACTTTAAATTTGTGGGAAATAATTAATTAAATTTGTAGCTTATTATAAGTAATAACTGTTATTGATCTGTAGATCTTTTGAGAATTTTTGAGTGCAGGAAATTCTGTAGTATAAATTATTGTGCAATATTATTAAAACATTTAAATATGATTAGATATAGAATGACTGAAAAATAAAATTATTATATAGTTGTAAAATATATCATTATTTAAACTAACTCCTGCATTGCAGTGCGTCTTTTCCAGTGTTCTGAAAATTGGCTTATTCCTTCTTCAAAGAAGGTGCATAATTAGGTGTTTATCCATTATTGATGTGCTGTGATGATAGTGTGGAGAAGTGAAATCTAAATCTTGACTAAAATGAAGATGCAGCAACATGTTCACCTGTATGTGATACCCATTGTTCTTCACATTGTCTGATAATCCTGGTCAAAATTTCAGAGCTTGTGATGTCTTCTTGCATTAAAAACTTAATGACAGGCCTTTATTATAGACTGTGACTTTGAGCAATTTCACAAGCACCACATACAACTAATTGTTTCAAGACTTCTATGTTTTGTAGTTCAGTGGTCTCAAACTGGCAGCATGTGGCCTGTGAATATATTTCTCTTAAATTAGTTAATATTATTATGACAATAATTTGAAGAAAAAGTGTGAGATTTTTAAGGTTTAGAGTCCAATTTTACATTTTCAATAATAATAATAAAAGAAATCATGATCAATGCTCTTAAAAATGTAGAAATAGAGCTAATTGATTTGCATTGTGATATAAATCTTTTTCAAAGATTTGAAGATACAAAGATTAACTTTTATTACTACTTGTCAAAACATAAATATCCCCAGTTACGGGTTTTTGCAATAAGAATATTCATTTTGTTTGGAAGTACATTTACATGTGAACACTTCTTTTACATAGTCTACAAGAAGAACCAAACAGCTAATATCTACAATTTGTGATGAAGATATTTTTCAGCAATTTTCTTCCAATATTACAAACTTCATGAAAATTGAAATGCCATGAGGTGTTGTAGCTGAAAAGTGTAGGAAAAAACAAAGAAGTTTATAATTATTTACATACTTAGTGCAAATATGTATTTTTTCTACATGAATCATAGAATAATAAATAAAGAAAATAGATTATGTTGTCATTATTTATTCTCAATTTTTGTCCCTCTTGGGAATTTTTTTTATATTTCTGTCTAGCTTAAATAAGTTATTTAGTGGTTACTTCAACATATTACAATTATTTGAATACAGTCAAAAGTCGTTAATCCGGACTCCTCGGGACTTCGGCGATTCCGGATAATCGATTTTTCCGGATTATAGATCATCAGTTTAAATCTGGTAAGATGGCATGCAGAAATATAAAATTAAAAATATGAAACGTAATTTTTATAAAGAACAATTATGATCTAAAGGGTATCAAATTACAAAAAAAAAGCTTCATATTTATTTGTTTACTTTATTAAACTTTCTTTTCATGTAAGTTGTTTCGTTTCAATAACCTCTGTGTCACTTTCTCTTGTTGTCGGAAGGGATTGGTAATTGACGAGGATTTGATTAAATCATAATCAAAGACGGAGTACATCGAGAGAAATACTGCATTTAGTAGGATTTACTCCTAAAATAAAAACATCTGCCCTAGATATGATAGTGCTGATAATTAACTTCCATTTCATTGCGCGTTCCTCCCCGCCGCAGAGACGTGAAATTGATAACGATTCGGATTGTAGAGAAACGCAGGAGGTATCCTTTATCCATTTTTGCAGCAATTCCCTTTTTTTAATGAACTTCGAAACGTACTTTCGCTTTGGTAGATCCTTTACAATTAGTAAATCTAATCACAAATTCATTTGACATATCGAAGTTCAAGTCTTACTTTTATAAATTTTCCTCACAGTCTGCAAAATATAAGCCAAATCAATTCAAAGATTAGGAACAACGCAATCTCACATTAACTGAATTAGATATTTAGCTTAGCTAGCCGTCCGTTATAATTCAACGCACATTCGAACTATTTTGCACACGCGTATTCCAGTCGAAAGTCTTATGCCTATGCGCACGCAACACTGCTTGAAAAGTGTGTACTTTGAGGTCCGGATTATGGTGCCGAATTAATTACTTTAAAACTGGGACAGCCAATCTAAAATTTTATTATTAGCAGTCATACTGCAATTGCGATTGAAAGAAATTTCTTGCAGGTGCCAGCTTTTAGATTTCAGGCAGAAATTGTATAAATGAAGTTGTTTTTTTTGAAATAATGTTAAAAAGTTTAATTAACATATTATATTTTGTTAACGAGCCAAAAAAAAAAAAAAAAAGAAAAAAAAGAAAAAAAGAAAAAAAAATTCCCTCCCCCCCCCCAAATTGCGGCTTATTAGCTTACTTTTAGATCATGCATTTGGCCCACTTGCAAACTGAGTTTGAGACCATTGTTATAGCTAACATCATGTTGCTTACATCTTAAAATTACACAAAAAAGAAGCCAAATTAAAGCTGCTTTTTTCTGTAATTTTAAATTTTGCATTGCCGTTTTTCTGTTTCAATTTGAACATTTTCTGAATGAAATTTTTATTGATGGGTGCAGATGCAAGCTGTAGATGCAAAGATCTGTTTGTGATGACCACATTGCATGATTATTTAAATTATAATGATTGTTTTTATATAAGCAAATGCAGTTAGTAAGCAGTCATATTAGTGAGAAACTAGGAAATAAAAGTCATTTTAAGTTATTGTATTCTTTAAATGTCATAATTGACTGTGGCCTGAAGTTGACAAATTGTGTTGATTTGTTGGTGTTAACTAATTTTAATTGTGATGATGATGTTAACTAATTTTAATTGTGATGATGTTAACAAATTTTAATATTTGTGTGTTTGCTATAATTTTATTCTTTGAAATAATAGTAGTGAAGAAAGGTATTAATTCAAAGAGTAAATTACAAAAAACAGGGAATTGTAACTTACAAGATACATAAGATTAAATTCATATGGATTTCATAGTAGTGAATAAACATCGAAGAAAAGATAACTGATTATCATTTATTTTCTTTACCAGATTCCAAAATACGCAGACCTTCAAAAACTCCACCACCTTCTCCTGCTGATGAAATAGATAAAGGTATAACTTTGAATGTTTAAATATTTTATCAGCGTGGAATGAATTTGCAAATGTAGTTAGTATTGAAAGGGTTATGTGTAAAAGCTGTTGCATCACACAAATTGTATTTTATTTATTCATTCCATAGTCCACAGCCATTCTTTAGTGAAAAATAAAGATAATAACATTTGTCTTAGTTTAATTAAAAAAATACTTTTTCTTAAATTAGTTAATTAACAGTTTGATGATGCTTAAGACTTGTGGTCAGGTTTTTCTTAAAAATAGGAAATTGTGTCTGAATGTTTGTTGTAATTGAGCATCATGTAATTATAGCAATAAAAATTTAGTGTTATAATTTTATATTGTATCAAAACCATATCATGTGACTAAAGGCAGAGGGCGTTTACGTATTTTTAGAAAGATTTCGGTAAAGAATTTAAAAAAAAAAAGGCAAATATTTTTAAATTAAAATTTCTGGCAGTAGCTTAAGACTTGTGGTCAGGTTTTTCTTAAATATAGGATATTTATTTGTGTCTGAATGTTTCTTGTAATTGAGCATCATGTAACTATAGCAATAAAAATTTAGTGTTATAATTTTATATTGTATCAAAACCATATCATGTGACTAAAGGCAGAGGGCGTTTACATATTTTTAGAAAGATTTTGGTAAATAATTTTTAAAAAAAAGGCAAATATTTTGGAATAAAAATGTCTGGCAGTAGCTTATTATATAATATCGTTTGTTGCTATTAAATTTATTCTTCCTCCAAAATCTGAGGGGTAAACAAGTTGTGGGTTGAAGAGTGTGCTTTTGTGCTTTCCGAAGAGGAGTATTCCTATTCCAGAATTCAAAAACGTTATGAAATGCATGATATTAAAATATATAGTGATCTTTGATGAGGCATGGCTTTATCTAAAAGAAATTCCATTTCTTTGTTCCAATGACTTTCAAAGAGTGAAAATTCATCAAGACCTGCAAGTCATACTTAGAAAAGTACCACTGCATTCCTTGAAAAATTAAAACTGATATAGATATTGCATATATACCTTTTCAGTGTATTCCTGAAGGGTACTGTGATATTTCACCTGTAGACTATTGGACCTCTAGTTTCTTCAAAAGAGCTCTTTTTAAGGGCAAACCCATGACAATTGACTTATTCAAAATTAACCATGCCTTATTTGAAATAAACTATTGGCTCAGGTCTTTTTTGTGTAATATTTCAAAGAAAAAAAAATTATTTACAGTTTTATGTATGTACATTAGAATTTTTCTTTGGCATGTTTCATCTAATGAATTTATTTTAATTCATATCTTTTTTGGGGAGAAGTCTTATCTATTGTATATTCCAGGGGTGGTGGCCATATTATTGCTATTGTTTATGTAAATAAAACATATGTATGGAATATGGTAAACTAAAATTACTCAGTGTCCAAAAGAATGATTAATTTATGTCATTCCTTTTTACAAAATTTGTAGTAAACCTAAATTGATCAGTGTCCAAATGTAATTATTTTATTTTATTTCTTGTTAGTTGAGAAACTTTATAATACTATTCAATAAGAAAACAACAAGAACAACAAAAAATATTGCATTGATTCTATTAAACAATTTTGTAAAGAAAATCTTTAAAAGTTAGATTTGCTTATGTATGTATGCTTTATGAATGGATGGATGACTACTGTTTGATGCTTTACAGGAAGGATCTGCTGAATTTCTGAATCATTAATAATGGTAGAAACTAAATTGGGGTGGAATGCGAGTGGAACAGAAAATGCATCAGAACCATTTAATGTCATCCATATTTTGGTATAAGTCAAAAATAATTTAAAAGATCTGAATCTGATAGGCATCTGAATTCATGAGAAATTTATTGGATTTGGAAGCTTTGGGAATTTATGGAAAATCTAATGATAGTCACATTGGGAACCATGGTATAATTTTGATGTAAGGAAAAAATTATTTTAAGCCATTTTGATGCAGATTTAAAGAAATCCAAAGTTTGATGAACATTAAAAAGCTGTGATAGAACAATTTTTACAAGAAGGTATCATGGAAGAATCTGAATATTTAAAAATTGAGAATGCATTAAATTGTAATTAGAGGAAATAAAGGCACCAAAAAACTGCATTGTCTTTGATTCTCATGCTGAAGGCAAACTCTCATTGAAGGATTGTTTAGAATCAGACATTTCTTTACATTTGAAACCTATTTCATTACTTTTAAAATGATATATAAATATGAACTTGTGGCTCTGGAATATCTAGTTGTGGCTTTCAAACTTTCCTGAATTCCAACTGACATGAAACTTGGCCACTCCTGGTATATATGTTACTGTGAAAGACCGAAATTGGAGAATGTTGACATTCACCACTGAACGTCAACACATACTAGATACATCAGTGAAACACCAAATATTTGGTTATAGTCTTGTACATTTGGACCAGCACTGGTGTATGTCGACAATCACACATATACTGGGGTGGAGGTCGAAAAGAGAAGTCGAGTTCAAGAGAGGCGACTTGTCTGTCGCCATTCCTTTGCTCTGCTGCAATTGAAATTATGCAGCATGTATTTGTTATACTCTGGAACACTGTTTGTCAGTCTTATGCTATGATGGTATGCGCAAAGTTTTCTTATTTATTTTTTTTTTTTAAATCCAATACCCTAATTTATGTTGAATGGATACTGCATGAATCGCGAACGTTTCCTTGAAAAGTTAAATGCATGAATTGTAAGTAAACGAGAAACAATTGTTTTTATTTTCAACATCGCTTTCAAACACATCTCTCCTCACCGGATTGGTTACTCCTTATGAAGCTATGTTTGGCATTAAACCAAGAAGAGGCATAGCATCGTCTTTTTTGCCTGGCAAACAAATTGCAAATATTGAAACCAAAGAACAACTCTTAAGAAACTGCTAATACTTTTGAAACCGATGAACAGCTTGAAGAAACTGTAATACTTTTGAAGAAAATGTGAGCAGTGGCCATACCAAAAACCATATTCCAAAGAAAAATATTTAGGAGGACCTGCAATCTACCACGTCTTTGTATCAAGCCTGAACTGAACAACACGAGTTAATTTCTATAAAAAGATCGGCCGTGAAAGAGAATCTTTTACTGCAAGCGACAAAAATGTTACGAACCTCAAAAAAGTTTTTCTCCTGCTCAGATTAATGATACCATACGAATACAAGTCTCTGATGTCAACCGTGGTCGTACAAATGGCCAGAATCTGTTGGCAGTTGTTTTTGGAATAAGACTCCAGCTTTTATAAACTAGCAAATGAAAATGGCACCTTCAAGCAGCTCTATACCCATAATCAGTTCGTAATTTGTAAAGAAAAGTTAGTTTCCATAGATGAAATTTCTTCTCAAGTAATGTCGCTGAGAGAAGCAGCAGCATCTAATTCGAGAAGTAGAGGGCAAGGCTATACACGCTGTCTCTGCAAAAGGAAGTGTTCCACAACTAAATGCAGTTGTAAAAGCAAGGGATTCTTGCACAATTCAAAATGTCATAAAAGTTTATGTTGTTGCAATAAATAATATTTAAATCACATAGTTAAGTTTTTTTTTTTTTTTGTATTATTTTCTTTTCTCATTTAGAATGTATTGTTTAAGTTCAAAGTTATTTGCATTGCGCTACTCGATTTTTCATATTTTACATATATGGATAAATGCAAAGTAAAAAAAAAATTCTTTATTGACTAATTTAAACTAATGCGTAACTTATCCAACACGATGCTGCTTATAAGAATTCCATAATATCGAGTAGCCCTTCTTGTATCAAATAATATCTCGAATCAAAAGCTACACGTCACGCAGTGAAAACGCCTCTATAAAGTTATGGACAGCTCTTCTCACCAGGAATTGGTAACTCCTCTCAGGAAGACGGGCCTAAAATACAGAGAACAAAATGCAAATCTCCGACATATTCAACATTCACCGTTAGTGCATGGTGAATGTCGACATTTGCCGGTGTAAGTCAGAAATAAGGATATTTGCCAAATATTTTGCACTTGCACCAAGCGACTATGTGAATGTTGACATTCTTCAAATCTCAGTCTTTCTCAGTAACATATACATTAAGTACTATTTTTAAAACTCAAGAGATTTATATTTTTGTTTCATTTTCTATGTGAAATATACACGTATAAAGGATTTCACAAGTGCTTGAAATCCGCTTTATTCATTTTTTAATGTGTAGTTTAAATGCTGGGCTCAGTTTGTTTCTGAATAGGTTCAGTTACATTGTTTTTATTGCTACAATTTTTGCAACTATGATTAAATTAGATGTTTCAAATATGTTTTTTCAAATTGCTAGTAATTTATTATTATCATAATTATTGTAATAGTATATGGAGATATTGAAAAGGTGAAAGATGTGCCTGCTGCTGCTACAGCAACCACTGAAGTAAAAGATGCTTATGTTAGATTACCTAGTGAAGTTGAGATTAGACCTATGGAGGGTGTTGGTAAGTCTGCTCCTTAGCTTGAAATTCTTATTTGAGTTTGTCTAAACTTAATAATATAACCATGGCTGAACAAAAAAATAATAATTTACAATGCAGAATTAAAAAATAACAACTAAAATTTATTTTCAACATCATAATAGGTTTTTCTCCCATACAGCAACATAAAGTAAATAACAGCTCTGAATCAGAACTGCCCAAAGCTTACAGAATTTGCAATGCGACTTATCTAAGCAGACTGCAAGTAAATTCCAAACTAAATCAGATATCTGGAAATAATCTAATTGCTCCAGGTCAAGATCAAATTTCAGTTAACAGACTCTCTCAATTTACTATTATTAGTTGAAAGTAATTCCTCTCTAGTTATAAGTTTCAGTTGATTATCAGATCTATTTAAGTTGTCTGCTCTTTTAACCGGATTTCAATATGCAAATTAGGAAACCTACCTAACAGGATATTTTGATCTTTAGTCCTAAGACTAAACAATATTGGGCTCTGTGGGACTCGCTCTTAATTCAGGAATACTGTCTTGTACGGGAGATTTGCATCAGATGATGGAAAGGCATTCTGATGGCAGCTGATACTTCCAAGATACTGGATGTCCTAAGCTAATTTTATAGAAAATAAGAACAGAAAAGCTTGAAAAAAATTTTAACTGTTAGCAAATTAATATATTTGTACTCACTTTTATTCATCTTACCTTTAAAACTGGTCTGTGTGTAATGATTAAAGAAAAGTTATTTTGAATTTAATGTATTTTTTCAGCTTGCATTAATTTTGTTATGATTTTAGATAGTCAGCAAAAATTTGCCCCCTCCAACTAATTTAATGTGAACTCAGATTCACTTTTATTTTATGCTTGTGGTTGGAATAAAGTGTTTTGTTTTAACTAGCATATAACTTTCATCCCTGTTTTAACCCAAATATTTAATTCTGCAGTGCCACTAGCTGTTTAGGAATGTGAAGATTCTGCTTGAGTTGCCATATTTGGTGTGTTATTACTTTAGCAACTAAAAATTATCAAAGTAAATAAATCATGTATTGCCAAACATTAGCTAGTAATTGAGTGTAAGTTAATTTTGAACTAAAATTAATGTAACATAAAAAATTATAACAGGATTAATAAAAAAAATAATGTAAACAAAAAGTTGGTGTAACCAAGAAAAAGATAAAAATTCAAGTGGCATTAATTTCCAAGGATTTTATGTTAAAGACATAAAAGAGTTGTATTTAGAAATGAAGTAATAATAAAATAAAAGCTTTTGAACCTTGTTTATTCAAAATTATTGGGTAAAATGAATAAAACATTTTGTCATATAAGCTATGGATAATGTCATTTTCATTAAAATGAACCAAAATAATGCAATTATTAAACATAATATTTTCAAATTTACTAATATTTCTAATATATTTCATAAATTATATTTAAAAAAAATTTTAAGCTTTACATTAACTTTGGAAACATTGTAAGAAGTTTTTATTCTTGTTTCAATAATTATTTTTTAAGCTATTAAACGAATTCTATGTAGATGATGAAAAGGTTGCAGTTAAGAGTGCCTTTTATAAAGGTGTGGTTAATAAGGCATTGCAAATTTTTAATGACTAAGTTCAGAGATCTTCTTCTGGAATATATAAGCCAATATATATATTCCAATTCTTCTGAAATATGCTAATTTGTAACCTGAAAAATATGTGTATATGACTTCCAGATTTATCCCAAAATTTGCAAAGCACAAGCAGAATTTTCACTTAATGCATTTTAACAAAGAGTGATTATAAAATAGCTGTATCAGCTTGCAAACTAGTACACTTACTGAACAGACAATGCTTTTCTTGTTTATAGTAAAAAGTAAGGTCCATTTTACTGCTCACAAAGTATTTTCTACAGAAATATTTCCCAAGCATTTTAAAAATTAAAGTTTTACCAACATATTTAAATAATTTCTTAACTAAATAGAAGTACCCACCAGTACCCACCAGCAGATGAATGGTGAAGTGGCTGAACACTGGTAATTCGGTCTGGGCTTTGAATTCCGGTGAATGGTTTGGCTGCATGCATGTTTTTATGGTTTTTCCCTTGTGTAATGTATATACAAGCCTAGAAAGTTCTTCACAAATGCATCTGTCAGGCAGAGAGCTTTTAAATGCTTTGCCATAGTCAAATAAACCAAACTTTAACTAATTAGATTACATATTTTGCACAAAAAAGTGGCTAGTACACTTTATTTAGTCAATATTATCAAAATCTTCAGATTACATCAGATTAAAATCTTATCTAGTTTATCATAATTGTCTGTAGTCGCATTAAATAGTTCTTACAAAAGTTTGTGCTTCTGAACCTACTAATACTAAATTCATGCTAAAAATAATAGCAGAGTTAAAAATGAACTTAATAATAAGTTTGAGCTGTCTTATTATCCAACTTTCTTAAATGTCACTTTTAAAATTATCATAATTCAGGTCATTTTTCAGAAATTATACATAATTTAATCCTAATTATGTTTCAACAGTAAGTCTGAGAAAGAAACTATTATGCAGATTACGGTGTATGCTATGTTATAAAAAAATAGTAGCTGGATAAATATAATTTTACATTCTTATTTTATAAAGTAAGTATTAACCAAGCTGAGTATGCACATTGCTAAAAAAACAATTTCTTTGCAAGAAATTGAGATTTTTTTAATATCTCATGAACCTCTGTTTCAATAGAATCGGTACTAGCTAGGAGATTGGAAAATTAATTTACGTTAATACCTTCTGCTGGCATTTCTCAGGAACATGTTTTTCAGCAGATCTTTTAAATGTTTTTCTTTTTATATTTTACTCTATGTTGAATTCCATCTACAGCATATGAAATAAATAGTTCAGGAATATGGGTAATATTTATATTGAAAAAGTTCGAATGTAAAATTGTTCAAATGAAAGTTTTTAAGTAACATAGGTGTTTCATAGATTAATTTGCATAGAAATATATTTGCTAAATTTCTGTGGGCTTTGAATTACAGATGAGGAAATATTTTGAAGTGATTATACTATCTTAAAGAAGCACATTATCCACAAATGTACTTCTGACTTATATGCAAGTTTGGAAACTTCCTGAAATTTGTACATCCAGATACCAAAACTGCAATTCTCTCAACTTAGGGCAAATAATGCTAAATATTCTGCTAAATGGTACATCATTTCATATATTATGAAAATCGAGGCTGTCTAAAATCATTGTAATGTATGAAAACTTTGATAGGCTTCTTTGTGTAAGTTGATAAGAAAATATTTTGTTAATATAAAGGCATTAACAGATATATTATGCAGGCTTGTATTCATCATTCTCAATAGATAAAAGCTATATCTGCTGAACTATACTGTTATATTTTAAATTCTTTTTTAATTGGTCGTCTTTATGTTAAATAATAAAAAATTAAGTTTATTATTTGTTGAATTTTAAGAAATGTTATATAAATTTAATTTTTGTATGTTAAGTTTCATTTATTTTCATTAGAAAGCACTGAAAATGTTTGATAAACACCATTTTATAGGGGAGGTAGGTGGACAAGAATTACTTGCTAGGTTGACTGAATCAGAAACATGGCCATCTGGAGATTTGGACACTAGTCAAGTGTCTGTATCCAGCCTTCCTGATGATGAAAAATCTGAACCAACAACTGCTACAGTTTCAAGTGCTGCTGCTACTGCGGCAAATGACAGAAGTACTGCAGTATCTGAAACTGTTGGTAAGTACATGAACTATATATAGTTTATATTGAACAATCAGTAATTATTCAACATTTATTTATTTATTTATTTATTTTTATTTATTTTTTTTTTTAAAGAACTGAATTAAAATTCCACTCTAAGGCAATCAAATCAGTATCTGTGCTAACATTTATTGTTTTAAAACAAGACAATATCTTTGCTTTAGTAACATAATTTATTTCATTTGTCCTTTTTTATTTTTAATTACACAGAATTCGAGTTTAAATTTTTTTAATGTAAAGCAAAGTATAAGAAATGCAGCATTAATATCATAAATGTTAATTAATATTAATGCAGGAATGATTACATTTTTGGACTTTAGCCTAAATATTTGAGTATACTTTTCCTCAAATTGTGTGACTAATGAGAAAGACACAAAAGATTAGAGATTTTCTAGGAAAGGAAGCATAAATTAAATATTTTTAAAACATTGCAGTGTACTGCTTAGCTTTTTATTTGCTGACAAGGTAATTTAATTTGTAAATTCAAAGTTTAAATAGTTATAAGACTAATATTTTACTATTTATTTATTCTAAAATTTCAGAACTTTTTTGAAATATTCATGGAAAATAAATAAATGAAAAAAATCCATATGTATTCCTGAAGCTTGGTCTGTCTCTTCTTTGCATTTGTTTAACTAGATAATACTCTTCTAGTGAATTCTTCATGTACTGAATTTCTGTTGCATAAAAATCTGTATCTATTTGTTCCATACACAGTTTGTTCACAAGGATTATCTTCATTTCATGGGTGCTATAATATGTATTACATTTAAAGTGGTAAAGAAAAAAGGAGCTTATAATGGTCCACAAGAGAGAAAAGCAGTGGCACAAAAAGTTTTGAGAACTAAATAAAAGAAAAGTATAGAGGCTTGAGTCCGTTATGCATTAATATAATACTTACAGAAAGTATCTCACAGATTATTGTTTAGAAATCAGCTGCAAAATGTTTTTGTATATCTCTGATTTCATTTAGTTCCCATGTATGTGCAATGAAGATATTGTGGTGAAATTTTTTTGAGTAGCTTTTTGATAGCCAAGCACTAGTTAGGTAACTGATATCCTGATGCTTATTTTAATATTTTCAAATTCTAGATAGAAATGACATGCTAATTAAAACTCAGCATGAATAAAACAACATTATTTTGCATCAGTTTATTACAAAATTAATGAATAAAAATTTTACTCCAAAAAGCATTGTTTCCTTTTTTACGTCATGATCTGTTTTAGTCACTATCAAAGTGTACATGAATTGCTATTCAATCCAAAGAACTGAAATTTCTTAAGGATACTACACATTATTAGTTTCAGAACAGTGAAAATACTGCATTTTTTGGCAACCAGATGTAATAGTTTGTCCTTTTGATGTGATGTAGAGAGCTAGATAAATGTAAAGTAGACTAAAGATTAATTAGAAGCAACTGTAAACTGGAGCTATGCATTATCCTAATTGTAATTTCTAAAGGCGTAGCAATCTGTTGTTTACTGAGTTGAAGAAAAGAGAATCCTGATTAGTTACAAAACCGTTTGGACAATCAATCCAGTTTAATGACGTCACAATAAAAAGAAAATGGTAATTTCAAAAATAGCCAAAACATAACTGAGATACTGCTTTTGAAATATAGCATGTTTAATTTACTTTTTATGAAATATTGTTATTTACGACTAACATTATGTTTCACTTTTCCATTGACCTGTAAATATTAAAACTGACTTTATGTTTCAGTTTTACATTTGTTGTTCAGAGGCCAATATTTAGAATAAAGAAGCCATCGTAGGACAACACACTTTATTTACAGGAATAATGAATGAAAACGATCACACTGAAAATCATACTGACCATCACACACAAATACTCTCACCTCTCTATACGCTCAATGACGGATGTGTCCAGAAGAGACAGCTGCGCCTCATATTAATACCATGCGCATAAGAAAATAAATTCGCTCGCCTCTACCCACAACCCCTCCTGCGACAACTTTTTTTCATAAAAATGAAATACAAACAATATAACACATTACATTAGAATTAGGAAATTATTTAGTTGCATTAATTTTCTTCACTGACACCCTTATCTAAAATCTGCATCATATTATCAATTTGCGAATTCCAACTTAAGACATTTCTTTGTTAATCCTTCATAAATGGAAATGTAAGTTCATGCTCTCGATTCGTCGAAATCTGCTAGTTGATCCCTGGATGGCAACTTACTGTCTGATGCAGACCACTGCCACCATTCAAATTGTTTACATTTTAATTCTGATTATAATTTGCAGTTCAAAATATCCTTCAATTCGAATGGAAATAAGTCTGCTTCACAAGTGACAGACGAACACTTCTCTGCTTCGACTTTCCAAAAAATAAATAATCACCTATAAAATATATCACCAGAAAATGGCTTACATTTTCTGCATTTCCCCAGCTAGCATCAGCATATGCATTTAAAACTCCAAAATCATTGCTATAGAAAAGTTTTTTTTTTTTTAAATTTTTTTGTACCTTTTAAATACCTTAATACCCTTTTAGCCAAAAGATGCCTTTTTTCTGGTACATGATTAAATTGTGACAAATAAGTTGTTACTATACAATGATATATCAGGATGCAATCTATTCGCTAAATATAAAAGTTCCCCAGTTAATTCCTGATACAAAATTGCATCAATTTTTTCAATTGTACATGAAAAACCTTTATCTGCCCCTTTAACCCTTTAACGATTGGCGTTTTTACTGCTGTACAATTTTCTAGATTGTGTTTAGTCAATAAAGATTCAGTATATTCTGTTTGAGACAAACATATACCATTTTAAAGTTTTTCTATTTGCATTCCCAAAAATTTTGAATTAGTATTTTCATGTAACTAAAATACATTTTTAATTTTAGAAACAATATTTTCAAGCATTTTTTTATTATTACAGAATACAGCTAAATCATCAACATACAGACATAATATGAAAATGTTTTTGGTATCATTATAAATGAATATACAATAATCAGATGCTAATTGTACCAATCCAAGTTTTTCGAATTCAGTTTTATTTTCTTATACCTATTTCTACATGATTGAGGCAACCCATAAATACTTTTCCTTAATTTATATACTTTTCCTTCTCCAATCAGTTTTTCATAATCAGGTGGATGAGTCATATATACGTCCTGGTTTAAGTCACTGTACAAGTATGCTGTTTTTACATCATAAAATTTAACAGTCAAGATTAATTTAGCTGAAAGTGCAAGCAATAATCTAAAACATCCAGCTACAGCTAATGCTCTGGGATTTGGAAATTCGATGAGTCATCATGCTTCCCCGAGTGTTTTCGGTAACAACATTCCAGGTGTGGTTTTTGATCTACTTCATTTCCCCTTTTAATTCTTCAATATCCCAAGTTTCTAAGGTTTTATTTTTCCCCTATAATCTACCTTTAAAGATTCTTAATTTAACTGATCCTTCTCAATTATTTTATACTTGCTATATCATAATCGATATCTTTTTCTTTGGAGCATATCTAACATTTCCCTCTTTTCCCTGGTATGTAAATTTGTTCGCATTACTTTTGAAGTGAAGTATGCCACCATCCAACTTTTTTAATAGTTTTAATTTGGGTTTTTTCCAGTCCAATTCTAAAGGAATTTTTTCTTTCCTTTCCGGGTGTTAAATTTGATATTTGAGTATAATTAATTGCTCTGCCAGAATTTTACTGGAAGCTCACTCTCTGTAGTATGTCCTATCTCTTTCCAAGAATTTTTGCCCGTTCAGCTTTCCCAGTCTATCACTGTTATATGGATTTTTTTTCAGAAAATATTTGAATAGCAAATAATTATCTAATTGTTGATTTCAAATCTAAACATTGTCTTTCCAACATGAATTCTTTTACCATTAATTTTCTACTTAGCTTTAATTTACAAATACATCAAATACTTCACTTTTTTTTTTAAAAATAATAAAATACTTCCAAAAATCATCCACTAAGATCTAAAATATTTAGACCACCATTGATCGGTGAACGGGCCACAAGATCCGATGAATTATTCTAAAATTCTAAATCTGAATTATGTCAATATTGGATGACTTTTCTGGTTTTTTTACTTATACACAAGTTTCACCTTAAAATCACTTACAAAATCTGAAATCATGTTTCTTTCATTTAACATATATTTTGATTTACTGGCACAAATTTTATAAGTATGAATTAATGCCAAGTTCATAATTATTACCATTACAATCTTAAAATGCATTCGAATAAAATAGTCTAATTAACTTCAGCCTACCATTTGCTTAAATGCTTTAAAATAATTCATACACCTACTAAAACTATACAGAATTATTCCTTGATTCATTTTACATCCTTTATCATTAAGGCATGATGACAATAAGTCTTTCATATCATGCCTAACTATATTAATAAATAGAATTCTTGTTTTATAGTTTTTGCTCTACAGTACCAATAACCTTCTTAAAATATTTGATGTTTACCTGCCTGTAATCTCCCTCTCTCTGCATAATATTTGACAGTCTTTGCTAGGTGTTCCAGTTCACCACTCCACAACCAATTTTTTATCGCATTCATCATTTTTTCACGTGAGTTGAAGAAAAATCACTTTCTCTTCATCAAACGAGAAAAATGTTAACACTTGTAGGTTGTGATTTCTTCTTTCCTTTTACCTTGGATAACTCACTTTGGATTCTAGTTTTCTGTGATAGCACCCTTCGCGATGTGACCGGCCGTCGGCAAATGTAACAAATTCTTGGCTATAGGTTTTATTCCTTCTTAATATGAATGCCTCTGCGTTGGTTCTATCAGGTCGTTTCCCGTTCGTTGAATTGTGAACGGACTCTTCCTCACGGAGTATTTCGAATACTCCATCAATTGTTTCTTCACGCTGAGTTTTTATAATTTCCCTAATTTGAGAGAATTTTTCACAAAGTCCACGGACTGTGTAAAACACCAGTTCCCGAGGAGATGCATCTAGTCCTAGCGATT